ACTTGGAAAAGTCTGGTAGTGTCTCACCTGAACAATGAGTTTCAGGCCACCGCAGATGACCGAGAAGTACTCGGACTCGCCTGGAAGCAATCCCAGCCATCCCTCGACATCGTCCTTCTTATCACCCAGCTTGCTGAAGGCGTTGCGAATCTTTCCCCAGATGCCATTTGAATCACTGAGCTCGTACTTTTTAATGGCTTCTGCCACCGCTGTTTCGAGCTCCCTTCTGGTATGTTTGCTATCTGGATTGACTCCAGTCCGATACTTTTCATTTGCCGTGCTTTCGTACTCTTTCATTGCCTGTATAAAAGCATCCTCTTCGACTTTCACCTCATCGTCGGTCTTGACACTTTACCGCTTGTCAGCTACGTAAAAGAAGAGGATCGGCTTTACACTTACACAGCAACTGTCGTTTCTGACCCAGGGAAAGGTTGCAGCGACGGGTGTAACGAGCCGTCCAAAGGACTTCCGGGGCTCGTCACGTAAGTATTGACAATTGCCTTAACAGACTCCCGCGCTCGAGCCTTGCTCTTGAGCAGTTTATTGATGTTCCCAAGCGGGTCTGGGTACAATGAATTCGATGCCATGACACATTCGCGACGCATTTGATCAGTTGGGAAAAAGGAAGGAAAGAATCGGAACAGACAAGCCTTGGAAAGGCTCTGCGTTTTCGATTGAAATCACCACCATCGTAGGATTTACAACCGCCGATTCCCAGGCAGCCCGGCCTTGGCATGCCCGCCGTACACCCCCTTCATGTTTCGAGGAGGTGCATTAGCTGCAACCATCACTGCATCTCTCAATATTCTAGCCGCAAAAGGGAATGAGCGAGACAAGGCTCCGGGCCGCCATTGGATGTCAACCAATTTCGAGCGAGGCGCCTGTTAGCTGCAGAAGTGAGACATCGCATACACGAACTGGTTCTAGCTCGCGTCTGGGTGAGGCGTGGGCCTTACGCGCCCGGCTTCTGACACCAGCGGTAAACCATCCAGGTATTCCAAAGATCCAGAGACGCTCATCAATTGCGGCTCGGGCCCCCAATCAGGACAGGATATACAAATACCCACCCATGAATGAAGTGCAGAATAATGCCAACACACCCTAATGCCAACACACCCTCTCTCTCTCTCTCTCCTGAATTTGGGGGTATTGTTATCTGCGACCTTCCGAAGGTCAATGTCTGGTGTGGTCGCAAGCGGCAAATCCCAGCTGAACTGCGTCTGCAACGGAAGCTGATACGCTCGTGTAGTACTTTGTGTGCCAGCCTGCTTCAAGATTCCGTCCATCTCTCGGGATTCTGCGGCAGCTACAATACGAGACAACTGACCGATTTTCTTCATTGGGAATAGATCAGAAACTGAAATAGCATTGTGCGAGGCGTCACTTATGCACCACGCGTCTCGGCACAACTCAACCTATCCATTTATCTTACTGATCTATTTATCTTACTCTGGTCTTGTAAAGACAAAAATTGCTCTGCTGCTTGGTCGCGCAAAGCTGTTGCGGTTCAAGCTTTTACTTTGACCCTTCTATGGGTTCTTTTTCTCTCTTTGTTTTTCATCCCGATAGTCACTTGCGCCCATCCCATACGACATTTTCCAAAAACAACGGGCATGCTACCAGCCACCCAAGAGACGTACCGGTCCGTTGCCGACATGAACGGCGCTGAGCTCGGTATTGCGCTCGACATCGGTCAACATCTAAGAAGCCAATCCTCATTCTCGGAAACGGATGCCGATTCCCTCTCAGCACACCCTGACAGACAAGATGACCTCAGCGTGGTCAAGGAGTCAGCGAGCTCGGAGCTACTCAAGGTTTCCACTGTCGATGCGGCCACTGTCGATGCCAAGGATCTCGAACCTGAGTTGGACAAAAGCAAGAACTCAGAGGCCAGTTCGGTTAGCGCAGACAACGACCATGAGCGATCAGAGACAACAGAGGAAAAAGAGGGCCCAATCTACAAAGATAACTTCAGGCTAGAGCATGGCGTTATCTATGTATCGAATGACCATTTTGATAGCCCACCATCGGGCCAAGAGTACCATGTGGTCGTCGGTTTAGATGTAGCCGACGTGCAATCGCCAAAGAGAAATGACACAAGCGGATACGAGACAAACAACACCTCTAGCAGTCTGCCTTTCCAGCTTCCAACTCAGATGAGAATCATCAACCCGCTAGTGACGGAGGATTTGAGGCCTTTTTCCATCAGCACAATATACTCGCACCACCTGGCCCCCTTCAGATCTCTTATAATGGCTGCGGATGCAATTCGGCGACACCTTGAGCAAAAAGAGTCGGAATTCCAGAAGATCGAGCGCAGATATCCCAACCACGAAGCAGAGGGTAAGACGACCATGGACGACAAGACAGTAAGGGCGAGAGCTACACTTGACGGAATTCGAGCTCTCGTTCATTTTCTGGATACGGACCTTCGCGAGCCTACTACAATCCTCCGTCAGCTGCGTGGTGGAGCTGAAAACAACAGTCTACCTCCAAAATTACCATTTTCCTATCTTTTCCTGTTGTTCAGCTCGGGCCAGGAAGTTGTGGCCCCAGTCCCTAGACCACAAGCATATCGTGTCCTACAAGCTGCGGGTGGATCGATGGCGGCTAGGGGTGAATTGAACAGGGGTATGCCGGTACCTACTGTCTTAAACCTGACTATTGAATGTTTTTGTCTTGACTTTGACGGAAAAGAGGTTGGGCCTGTGCCCCACACAGTCTACATTAGACCATATGATGGTCTAATGGATGTTACACAACTCCCTGTCTATCCAATGATGTATGGTGGGTCTACTATTCGGCGATACTTTGACGATCGCGGTCATAAGTTTGCTGAGTTGGCTGGGCCAAGTCACCGAAAATACAAGGGGCTCAATCTCAAGGAAGGAGACAGATTTGACACATTCGAGGAGGTACTAACGCCCCCTCCCTACTCATCCCAGTTAACCTAACTAATCCCATCAATCATCCCTATCATCACGTTAATATGACTGCCTATGCTAACGGCCATTAGATTGATAGCGATGTGATGGTTGACTTCCAGCTCGCATTTCTGAATAGCGAGGCCAGGATAAAAGCGCCTGAATTTGGCCGGGGGGCATTGCAGTACCCACAGATGTCTCAATCGGCAGTGATATTCTATTCGGTGACGTTGCATCCGAAATTATCCGAGCTATGCGGCTCCAGTTCGTCCGTAACACGCCTCTTCTTCGAACAAAAACTTTCCAGACCCTGGACAACGACAGCTACATCCTACTTCCTTTCAGGGTATATGGATATGTTCTTCTCAATCGCAAGTGGTGTAAGCAGACCCCACAATTCGTGCCAAGAGGTAACTTGCTGACTCCTTGAAGTTCCTCTCGATATCGACCTCATCGAAAAGGTGCCCACGGTGAAGCCTGGAGAGAATGATGGTTTCCAGAAACTTGTTTTGCCTGAGGGACACAAAGACATTGTTCGTGCATTGGTAAATACCCACGCAAGGCAGGTCATAGGCGGAGGCAAAATATCAAAGAGCAGCGCCAATCACGAACTGGATATTGTCAAGGGCAAGGGCAGAGGCCTTATCATTTTGCTTCACGGTGCACCTGGAGTGGGCAAGACCTCAACTGCTGAATGCGTAGCTGCTAACGCTGGGCGACCTCTTCTCCCCATCACATGCGGAGACCTTGGAGGCACCTCAGCCCGTGAGGTGGAAGAGAATCTTGAGACCTTTTTTGACCTTGCCAGAAAGTGGGGGTGTGTACTCCTGCTGGATGAGGCCGATGTCTTTCTGAGTGCGCGTGAAAAGGGAGACATACGGCAGATCAGTCTTGTTTCTGGTGAGTGGAAAACACTTTGCAACATTGGTGCAGACATCTTTTTGATTTATTGGACATATTATCCCTTGCTGACACATGGCATCACCAGTCTTCCTTCGCGTCCTGGAATATTACTCGGGCATCCTCATCTTGACAACCAATCGAGTTGGCTCCTTCGATGAAGCCATCAAGTCCCGTGTTCACTGTACGCTGTACTATCCGCCTCTCGACGATAGCCAGAGCTTTCAGATCTGGAAGATGAACATAAACCTGCTAGATGAACGAAACAAGGGTTCCGACCATGCTCTTCGCGTTCGCTTCAGTCGCCAAGACATCGAGACATATGCTCAAAAACACTGGAAGAGAAGCCCAGAGGATGCACGATGGAATGGGCGGCAGATCAAGAACGCCTTTCAGACGGCTATCGCTCTCGCTGAGTGGGACCACTATCAGCAGACTGGCGGCAACCCACATCCAGACGGACCTCTGCTTTTGACGTCGCATTTTGATATTGTCGCCAAGGCCAGTGCGCACTTTGACGAGTACCTCGCCAAGGTACGAGGCACCGACAAGACCCGTGCCAAGGCCAACGAGATAAGGCGTGATGATATCCGTCTCGAAGAAGAGCGCGAGGTGACGAAGAAGAAAGCCAAGGCTGCCTCGTTCAAATCAAAGGCCAAAGCAAAGGCCAGACCCCCGTCCCGAGAGCCAGAAGAAGAAAGTGAGGAAGAGGAAGATTCAGAGGATGAAGAGGAGGGGGAGGAAGCAAGCGAGAATGAGTCTGATGAAGCCGAGGAGCCACCACCGTCGCCACCCCCCAAGAAGAAGAAGTCAAGTGGGAAGAAGACTCGAAAGGAGTGAAGACAGGGCTGAGTCGCCGATGTTCGTCAAGCCCGCTCCACCCACGAATAGATGCTGTATAACGACCCCTACCACACATGTCTGTCACATACGACCATGTCTACTTGAGAACTCGGCATCCCGTCCTAGATAAGCAAATGAGGGCCAGACTAGTAGTTTGGTCGGTGATGACCAGCGAATCCCTGGTGTCGTATGGGGTTTTTTTTCTTTTGGCGTCCCACTCGGTCTTATTCTTCGTTATCTGGAAGCTTTTCTTGAGGTTAAGGGTCCCTTTACCGACAAGCGAAACAACGATCCACACTGCAACACTGCGGTTGGTGTCCAACACCAACATGATCTTCCGTAGTATAGGGGTCAGTATATCTGTCAAGTTCGGCATCGCTCGGGACCCGGGTTCAATTCCCGGCGGGAGAGATCAGCGTGTGTGGTTCGGTTTCTTTTTTGCCTTGGTTGCTGATTGTTTTCCTTTTTTTATGGTTGTAAATGGTGATGACGATGAGGTTCGATTCCAGCACACTCTTTTATGCAGGCGCACTACTTCCTTTGCTCAACTCCCTTTATAACACAATTTGCAAGACTGCTTTCATGTATCTTTCTCATTCATCATGCTCATTTCTCGCTTGTAGCCCCAGTCCAATAACAAATCAGTCTCGACTCATTACAAATCTCAACCTCGCGACCGCGTAACCCTTGTGACCGGCGAAACATCCTGCACTCCCCAATCCTGCTTGCTCATCTTCCACTCCCCAGTGTGCGGGTCATAGTCCAGCAAATACAGAGTCTTTATCCCCTCGTTCTTTTCACTGCCCTTTCGCACGACATCACGCACAACCTCCAAATTAGGCTCCCCATAGTGTCCCATAAACTCCAGCTCCAGCGTCAACTGCAGCTCAGCCTCCTCATCCAAATCAGCCCGAAAGGTGACCGTAAACGGCTCCGTCCGCGCCACACGTCGATTATACGCCAACTTGACAGACTGCAAAAACGTCACCGGCGTATCATCAATACCCACCCCATACACCCTCAGCTGATGCCTGTCACTGTCTCCAGAAACATCCGACTCGACAACCAGCCGTCTGTGCAAGATAAAAGCCGGGATGGGCACTCTCAACTTTTCCATTACACGAGTCATGAGGTCGTCAGTCTTTGTAGACACGCGCATCGAGGCGAGCGAGTCCAGGTTCGTGGATTGGAGGTTGCAGATGACGAAGCTCGACCAGCGCCATGTGAGTGGCCGAAGGGACCGCCTGCAATGCGCTGGTGGCCTTTGACGGGCCTTGCTTCCCTTGAGCACGGAGTGTCCATACCCCCTCGGGGCCACGGAAGTCAGGGATGCCTGTTGGAGGATGTCAGCCGTCTGATGCTGCTTTTATCGAGCTAAATGGATAGTAAACCAGCTGAAGTAGAGACGCCCGCGCCGGTAAACACGATGAAATGCTTGCTGTTGCGGATCTGGTCAGCGAGAGTCTGGGCCTTTTTGTCTACTGCGCTGGCCGACTCGAAGCGCTCTTTTTCTGCAATTTTGGGGGCTGTGTCGGCCATGATGACCCGGAGTTTGGTTTATGACTGAGTTGGTGGAATTTTTGTTTTTGTTTGGCGATAACTACGAGAAATGTTGGGCATGTATGACATCAGGTAAACAGTAGCTTGGTTGTTGGTCATGGAGCAACGACACAAAATCACATGATATCGTAGCACACCAAGTAGACTAACAGGGTTACATTGGAGTCCATTCGAGGAACCAACAGTCTTGGCATGGAGAATAGGGGTTGCTTTGACGTCTGCTCGCTGGCAACATATTTGTAAACAAAGGGCTGTTGTTGAAAGGTTAAACGCATTTACTGTTAAGTCTCTCACCCCAGGAAATGCTTCGTCCGCCATTAATAAACAAATAAGTACACTCTATGGTTTACATATCGAAGTCTGAAGCATTTGCTTATTGTGCATTTACATGAAAGGTGGCATTCATAATGATGGAGCATAGAGGCACGTTGGTTAAGAACGGGCTCCAACATCAATCAAAGTGGCCATGAACCCCTTCATCCTTGTCTAGAGAGCAGCAATAAACGATTCATGTCCAATACTCTCAACTACGGACTATTTATTATGTGGCTAGGGAGCTGTGGTGAGGAGTAATATGCTGACGACCGAGAAGTATCATGTACTGTTTCCACCAACAATCACTAGAGTATTTCTAGAAACTTATTAAACAATGAGCGGGAAATGGTGAATGCACTCTACCGTAACCCTGATGCTCGTAGTATCTATCGCTCTTGCCGTAGCTAAGAATCATGATACAAACCCTTATCGAGCAGGATTATTTATTCTACATGGTCAGCATGCCGCAGGGGCAAGAAAAAACGGAGTCTCTGATGATACCGAAACTTTAACCTTACAAGCAACACGTGTCTAGATTCTGCCAAATCTTGTTACAAAAGCACGACAACAAAGTGCAGCTGCCCAGATTCGACTAAGTACAGTCGCGATCAACCAGGAAATCTACCTAACTGACAGCCCGCACCCGCTCTCAACCTGTCGTACCACTCCACCACAGCCACGCTTTGTTGAATTTGGGGCACTTTAAACTTATTAATACCCATACCTAACATAGCTCCCTGGTGACACCACTGCGTCCTGTAGCAATTTTTTTTTTTTTTTTTTTCACTCAGCGCGTTCAACCTAGGTAAAGGAAAGCGCCACCCCGTATTCTTAACCCTCGAGTGCCATCACCACCACCCCCACTGCACTGCACATAACTTGCCTAGGCCTGATGCTTTCCATCCCTTTCGAATATACGCCCCACATGAAACACAGTTTTTAAACAGCAAGACAATCTTTAATTTGGCGCGGAAAGCTTGGAATTTATGAACAAATCCAACAGCCCAAAGCTAATCGTCTTCCACCAAACTGAACCAGAGTTTGGGCAGCCATCAGTACCTGGGTTTGATCTTTGGGAGAAAAGAAAAGCCACATTTATCCCTCATGACTAGTAGGCGGGGGTTCATTCATGCAGCCGAATAAATATTATCGACATTTGATGGTCCCATGATGTCTGCACGTCTAGCTTCTTCTACAACACAACCAGCCTCCTGGTTCCTGCAAAGCCAGGTCGGAAACAAACTCAATAATCCAAGGGTACGTGCTGTATGTAAACGGAGCCGTTACGATTAGGGTGATATTGGCAGCCGACAACCCTAATACTACCCTCTCCAGTCGCCTGCAGCACGAGACAACAGTTCCACACTCTGGACTCGAGTCTCCATTCAGGGTAGTTTGTGCTGTGAAGCTTTTCTCCCTTCTCTGCGATTAGATCGCCAAATCGCACAAGTTCTCCTACCGACGCCGCTCATCTGTCAGTCTTCAATAATTATCAACCAAGGTTTGCCATTGATCTTCTTGTAACCCCACCAGGATGGATCAGCTGCGGACACCAAACAGTTGAGTGCCGGGGGTCATCCTCCTGGCGTCCGGGGCGGGGGAAGTAGAACAGGAAATGGCAGTATTTGCATTCTCGCAGTGTTGGCTCCGGCTATACGTGAACGGTAAGTTTTAGCTTTCTCTTCTTCCCCTGTGGCTTTTGAGCTGCCGCCTCGGGGATTATCACTTTTGGTGTTTGGTGTAGCGGTCTGAATACCAGACTGACGGCAGATATTTGCTTTGCTGACGACACTCCTGGAGGGGCCATGTCGTTTGTTGTCTGGTCTTCATGACCGCTCTTCTCAATACTGAACTGGGCTGCCATGTTTTGGCGAGAACTTGAGTCTGAGTCGTGGTACCTGTCTTTTCTCCAATCCATGTCATAGCAGTTGCTGTACGTGAATGAATGGGCCTCGACCTGGTTGACATGAGTGTTTTAAAATACCTGCCAAATCTCTTCTACCAAGTTTGAGTACAAAATCATGTGAATTCTGTCGGTCACTGCCGAAACCCTACGCCGGATGGGTCCTAAAGTTTCAGAATTTGCATGTCAGATGGCGTTGACCGGGTTTTTATCTCACGCTGCATTTTTTTTCTCTCCCAAATTATTAATACAACACACACTGCTTAGAGAACAATGGCCTCGTGAAATGCCATTGAAATTGCAACCTAACCTCAAAACGATCAGAATTTCGTCTTTCTAGCCATAAACCCGGACCCTATAGCTTCATGGACAGTTTCTGTCTAACTTCTCCCGAATGTATAAACTAAGTCATGTTTCTAGCGGTTCGTGGTTATCATGTGAGTTCCACACACAGCCTCGGTCCCATGACTTGGCGAAGCAGCAGCTCCATACAAGCTTATCGCGCTGAGTTCCAGTAAGGTGTGCACTATTAACGAACTGTCCGTTCGACGTAGTCACATTTTTGATTGCTATCATCTTTCCTGTAAAGCCGTCGCATATCATCAGCCTTCAATGTCTATCTTGAAGAGCAGCATGGAGATGGCGTTTGGCCTACCAGGATGAGTTAAAAACACATCTCCTACACATATAGGTTGCTTGAGTCTGGAATCCGGGGGAAAGGGGTAAAAGAAGATTCTCTTGCAACGCTTGCATGTGCGAAGTGCTGGTTCTGGGCATGCTTTCCCTTGGACTTGCACGAATCTCCCCTCGGTTGGTATTACTAGTAGTCCCTCATCGCCAATGTTTTCAGGAAGAGCAACAACAGTATTATTATTGCGGTTTCGACGACAGACCCTCGATACTACCCTTGCAAGGTACCCTTCTTTCGCTGGGGCGCTGGCTGAATAAGGTGGAGGGGGCGTGCCATCGTCATTCGACTGGTCGGGAAGACCGCTTTCATCCATGTTAGGATGCGTGGACATGTTGTTTGGGGAAGTTTGTGGTGGTGTATGTGATATTTGAGTCTGGGCGAACAGATGTGATATTTTACCCTCATCAGTGAGGAGGGAGGGTTAAATACCGGGTTCTGCACTTCGCAGACACAATGTGCATGTGATCTGGATAAAGGGACTGAAGTCAAAATAATGAATCTTAACCCACCCATCAAAATCTTCGGTCATTCCGAAACTAACAATCCTAGTTCTCATATGACCAAAGCCACAGCATCTGATTATGAGTGCAAACATGTTCAATCACTTACATCTTCCAAGCGGCATCCCATCATCGGCAAGATACCGACGCTGGTCAAGACATCACGCCTCGTCCAATGATTCCCGTCCAGCTTTAACATGGTTAGATACGTAGGCTTGTTACTCGATTGGTCAATGATGCAGCCAATGCCATGTACCCAGAAAATGACATTTGATGATCCAGAAGAAGCTGCCCATCAATACCAGCACCCATTCATAGCCTCTGAGACCAGAGAATGGAATACGAACAAGGACATCGATAAGCCAAAATCCAATTGAAGAAGGGATGATATTGAAACATAGCACCACTATAACACAATTGACGGATTGCATGCCGAGACTCT